TTTTTTAGCCTAAAACATGGTGGTTACCGAAAGCTATTTGTATACAAAATTTCAAGAAAATCGGACCAGCCGTTCGCGAGATTACCTGTTACAAAAAAAAGGGACTTCTCTTAATATAATTAGTATAGATATAGATTAATAGATGTATGCACATAGATTCATACATACATAAAATATGAAGTTACATAAAAAAAGATGCTTTTAATATTGCACTCGTTTTTACTAACTTTTTAAAAAGAGGTGCGTATGTTGTCTCGAATTCGATTTGCTATGGAAAGATAAGCTTTGTTCTTCCCCTCCTCCTGACGGCTTTCAAAACGGGATTCATTTGCGTTCAAATCTTCCCCTCTGTAGTAAATGCAATGTTGTGGAGTGCTCAAACAACGTTTATATTTTCACTGACTTTGAGCGATGAGTAATACAGTTCAAGATGAATTTCTTATGACTCTTCACTCATCTGAAGAAGACCAAACATGTCCCTAAATCTCCGTTTTTCAACTTCCGCATCAGCAATCTGGTAGTCGTTCTCCTCAATAACGCCGCGGCTAAGGATTTCATTCTTATAATTATGTTTCCACTAAATTAAGAGCAAACCAAATTTTATTTTTAATTACAGTGATGCTAGATATATTTAGTTATTTTAAATATTTACAAACTTTAACTTCATATGCTGCTATAGTTTGGTGGCAAATATTTCTTTGTTTTGTTTCGATTTCACACATTCCTAGGCAAACAGCTGATTTCGAAAGATGTTTTCTCTCTTCCTCTTCTTACGTTTCGATCGAAACGCAGAATACCTAAGTTCGATTCCAGCGGAGCGGAATGCGGGAACGTAATCGAAATGCAGAATAGGGCTGAATGCTTTTGATGCGCATTTTGGGGTAGGTATCTTAAATGTGCACTTAAGCATAGAGGCAGCAAAGCAAAATATACTATATATGTATTCATGCACATACAGTGGTCGAAAAAATTTTAGTCGCACCAAATTTTCACAATTATTATTTTTTTTTGTTCTTTAACTAGAGTTATTTTTTTTATAAATAAAAGTGATTTATAACTTTTTAACGAAAACCGTATAAATCCAAGTTTCAAACTTTTTGTAATATTTACAAAAATGAACAGTTTTCTTAAAAATGTTGACCTTTTAAATAGATTTTCTGGAAAGATTTTGAGTATGCAGTTTTGAAACTCACTCAATTCTAGGGGAAGTTTCAAGGCTAAAAATTTTCGTTTTAGAATTTGTTTGCCGAAGTTGTTGCGTTTTTCTTCCATATAAAAATAACTTGTGTTTATTCGTTATATAAAAGCAAACGCGACAAAGAAGTTTCTAAAAAAAATGAGCGGTAATTTTTAGCCATTTCAAACTTTGTTGTACTAGAATGGAACGAACTGAAATTCCCCACAAAAAAAGGTCCATTCCCACGTAAAGAGAAATTCCCCACGAGTTGGCTACCCTGGTGTAGAGGAAAATTAGATTTGTTTCTGTACAAAGCAGATGCACGTACATACGAAATAGAAATATTTCTATTTTCATCTGGCACACAGGTAGAATCATCTGAGATTAGTTTATTTCGTGTTCAAAGAACGTATTTTTAAATAGTTAAATAAAGACTCCGAATTTGACAGACATTCGCAATTACATGTGTATTCAAAAAGTCACATTTACAGATGCAAATACATATCGTGTGAAAACAACTATAAAGGCATCATTCGAAGTGAAAATAGGCTGGTTTTCTTTATACAGCCCGTTTAAAATTTGAATTATTGTTATAATGAATTCGAATTATTGTTTGCTTTCATTTCGGTCAACCGCGCAAATTAATTATTAAAGAAATGTCGTATAAAAATAGCAGATTTTGTTTACTTTTGAATACGGCTTCAACGAGTGCGCTATAAAGACAGAGGTATAAATGCTTGAAAGAAACATATGATGAGTCAAATCGATTTTTTGTTAATGCGGTTCTTGCGTAGGTATAAACAAGGTATATAAGTCCCTCATAATGCCTGTGCTCACGGTTGCCACTTTATCAAAATTTTGTGTACCACAATATACAAGAAAAAGGCTCAAAATAAAATAAAATTTAAAATTTTTTGCCGTCTATCAAAAATATATACATGATTCAAACAAGTGACCACGTGTTGATTTTTTTTTATATTCGTATCTAACGTCAATATCTGCTGGAAGTGCTGGTTTAAGTATACTGCTTTGCTTTTTCCTTGGCTAAATAGATACTTTCAAATAATAATTCACATGAATTATATATCCACTGCGAAACCCCGGCTGGCATCAAACTTTATATCTTCTATACTAAAATAAAACTGTAGATTGTTTTTCTGTTTGAAATCACTAAATAATCTCCGGAACTACTGAATCGATTTTCATGGAGCTTTAACTGGTATCTAGACAGTGACCTCGGACGTAACATAGAATGGAATGGAATGTGGACAAACAAGATATACCAATTTTTACACACAAAATTTACTTTGCACCAAATTCTTTTGAATACAATTTTGCTTTTCAAGGGCATCAACATATGCCAGTGTTGTTTTTCGTTATTGATATTTTTTTCAACTGAAATAGTAATTAGTTTCGTTCGTACATATTGAAAATGGTATTGAACTTAGATACATACGAGGTTAAACGTTTCTCGCGGAGGGTTGTGTCTTACAAGAATGGTGTTTCTAAGAATCCGTAAGTCAAAAGATAATCGGTAGGTAGAAACTGATTTATTTAAATTTATTTGTGTTTCGTGTATCACTATGGGATTTTGTACATACAAGTTAATTAGATATTTTGAAAACGCTCACTTGAAAAGCATGTTCTGTGAATTAAGCTGATATAGCTCGAAGCATTCCCTTGAGTCAAGAATTGACATTTGGAATTAATTATGTATTTACATTTCTAGGAAATTTCTAATTTGCGGAATTAAAAGAAATTTATTTAATAATAATAATAGATTGGCGCTTACACATATTTTAGTGTTTGGCTGAGCTTCTCCTCCGATTTGTAGCGTGCGCCTTGATGTTGTCACACAAAGCGGAGGGACCTACAGTTTTACGCCGACTCCGAACGACGATTGTATTTTGATGAGAAGCTGTTTTTCATGGCAGAAATACACTCGGAGGTTTGCCATTTCCTGCCGTGGGATGACCGCTATTATGCAAACAACTTTTTTCTATAATTATGCGATGTTGCTTTGACCAGGGTTTGAACCCAGGCGTTGCGGAGTGGAAGCGTGCACTGCTTACCACTACACCACGGCGGCCGACAAAGAAAAATTTATTTAAACGGAAATAAAGCGTGTGGTTTCAGCATTGACTTATCAAGAAAAACGTTTTGCTAATTTGTGTGAAGTATTGAAATTTTAAAGTAAAAAGAAAATGCATGCGCAAAACGAAAAACAAAATTCAATAAGTGGTTGTAAAAAAATTCGCACAGCTAATCGGTAGTAATAAGTTTCATATTATCCCACCATCTAAGGGAAATATTCGCGAAACTAAAGTACAAATTTATTCCGAACAGGATTTTCGAACAGTGTCCCAATACCTGAATGACTTAAACACAAAATTTTATACATACCAACTTAAAAGTACAAAAGGTCTACAAATTGTAATTAAAGGTATCGAACCAAGCGTTGAAGCTGTGGAAGTTTTGGAAGCATTTAAATTACAAGGTTTCAATCCAAAAGCTGCTGTGAATATTTTTAATAGGAACAAAATCCCTCAACCTATGTTTAAAGTTGAGTTCGAGCCTGAAAACAAACCTCTGGGCAAAAACGATGTGCATCCAATTTATAAATTACAATATCTGCTGCATCGTAGGATAACTGTGGAAGAACCGCATAAGAGAAATGGCCCTGTACAATGCACCAACTGCCAGGAGTATGATCATACTAGGTCTTACTGCACGCTTCACTCAGTGTGCGTAGCTTGTGGAGCTACATGTCTCTGCCACTTGCACATCAAACAAAGAAGACCCGCGTGCAAAAAAATGTGGTAACTGCGGTGGAAATCACACAGCAAACTACAGAGGCTGTCCAGTCTATAAGGAGTTAAAAAACCGGATCAACCAACGCGTGGCTTCCATACGTACTCATAATGTACCGAATGCCTTTGTACCCTCCCAAACGAATCTTGACGTCTTCTTCGCTAAAAGAGCCACGTCGCCAACAGTTCTATCAAACACCGTCAATGGCGTCTCGTTTGCAAGTGCCTTAAAATCAGGCTTAGAAAATCGTGCCCCTGCAAAAACTGCACCTCAAGTTGCGCCGCAAGAACAGCATCCCCATGCACAATATGGTAAACAATCCAATATCGAAGCTATGATAGCGTCGATGCAAAAAAGCATGATGAATTTCATGACTTTCATGCAAAACACAATGCAAGAACTCATGCGAAATCAAAATACGCTGCTCAACCTGCTTGCTACTCAGCAAACAAGATAATGACCTTACTTAAAATAGCCCTCTGGAATGCAAATGGCATTCCTCGCCACAAACTAGGGCTGTCAAAATTTCTTAAGGACAAGGAAATTGACATAATGCTCCTTGCTGAAACACACATAACTAATCATGATTCAACAACTACAGGTTGTAGCAATCGTACAAAAACAACATTTACCGTTGGTATGAACTCCTTGTGTCATCAACATCTTTTTTATCTATTCATATTCGTGTGTATATGTATACCCTGCATACCAGGATTTCATAGAATTCTGAAAGGTTTCAAAATTTTTTTAAGAATTTTCTTTAAGAAATCGTACAGAAATTTCTTTCATAGTTTTTGTCAACCGCTTCATATGTTTTTCTTTACAGATTTCTAAAAGAATCGTAACAAATTTCCGACACTCTTAAAAGATTTCGGGAGCATTTGTTTGCA